GGCACACCCCCCCAGCCAGCACCGAGCACGTGCCTCCAGCGCTGGCACAGCTCCACGGTAGCTGTCGTGGCCCGGCCGGCTGCTAGCGTGGCTCTGGCACATGACGCAAGGCAGTTCCTGGGGCCCCCGTGCCCTTTGGATCCCCACTGACAGCAGGGCTGGACTTTGAAGCTCCAGCCCCAAAGCGCTTCCCCACAGTGGACAGCCACCCCGAGCCCGACGGGTGTCCCAGGGGCACCCTGAGCTGGGCTCTGCCTCCGGCTGTCCCCATCCCACTGCAGCAGCAGCCTTTGAGCCACCGTGCCATCCCCCGGGGGTCCTGGCTGCCCAGGGACAGTGGAGGCTGTGAGCCCCCGTGCCAACGCATCCCAGCCCTGTCTCGTCTCCCTCAGCCTTGTGACACGCTCCCCAGGGTCCCATGTGGGAGAGGCGTGGGCAGCACAGGGCGGCTGCCATGTGCTGCCATGCAACACGTCCCCTTTGTCCCCGTGAAGCTGTTGGGCAGCGGCCATGGGGGCTGGTTGGGCCCTTGTGAAATGCCTACCCAAGTCCCTGCGGGGTATGGGAGCACCACAAAATACTCCCCAACCGTACGGAGCAGGGGACGGTGCTCACAGCCCCGGAGTCACACCAGCCCCAGTTCCCTGGGGGTGCAGCCACCCACTCTGAATTTAGCAGGCAGTGAAGTCCAGAAAAGTGGGAGGAAAATGTGCCATCAGCTGCAGCCTTGCTGCCTCTTCAGCCCCCCTGGACCCATTTTGCCCCCGGCACACCCTGCCGATGTCAGGAGATGCCCTGAGCCCTAGAGAAGCTCTGCAGTGGGTGGGCAGGGCTGTCCCCAAGCTGGCTAGCCACGCCGAGGCTGGCCCGCAGCCCATGGCCCCCCAACAGCTCTGGGACGTGCTCGCTGCCGTTTGCCCCCAAGCCTGTGCTCTCTGTCCTGGCTGGCCCAGCCTGGCAGGGCTGTCTGGTTTCGGGTGTGCTCATGCTTGCTCAGCTCCTGCTCCGGGCTGTGCCAGATCCGCAACAGCGGGGAGGCATGGGTGGCAGGCGGGATGGCAAAGCCATCATCCACTGGAGCAGCCCCCAGCTGGTCCTGGTGCCAAGGGTGACCCTGTGAGTGGCCCAGCCCCAAACGTCTGTGGGTCCCTGGGGACCCCAAGCCTGGCAGGAGTTGCTGCACTGACATCCCCACTGGGATCAGCCCTTGGCAGCTCATTTATTGCTATGAGGATCCCCAAGAGCATCTTCTTGGGAGGAAGGTCTAAAATCCCCCACCAGAAATTGTGCAATACCAGACTTGAGGGAGAAAATCCTCCTAATCCGGGGAAATCCTGGTCTTTCTACTTCTCCTACTTCGTATGTAAGGCAGGGCTACACCTATCTGTGGTCTTTCTGCACAATCTCCAGCACAAAGGGCGGCTCATTGTTCCCCTAAAGCCGCATTTGCCCAGGAGGCAGTTTCTCAGCGCTTTGCTCAAGGACAGGAATGCCAAAAGCATCAGGAGCTGAGGAGCCGCTGGGACAAAGGGAGCAGAGCAATAGTGCTGGGGCCAAACACAGTGGGGAGCTGAGGACAAGATTACCCTGTCTCCTGGGAGCCCAGTCCCTCC